AATAATACACAGGCAAACAATAGATACAAACTCAAGGAAAACCGCTCCAAACTCAATTGGAGAAAATACTACTTCAGCAACAGAGTGGTCAATGCCTGGAATGCACTACCTGACTCTGTTGTTACATCCTCTAACCCCCATAACTTTAAACTGTCTACCATGGACCCCATCCCATTCCTAAGAGGTCTGTAAGGGGGCGTGCATAAGTGCACCAACATGCCTACCATCCCTGTCCTACTGTCCCCATTTCCTGTCTTCATGTCCATGTTTATGCGTATGCCTGTTACCTCATACATGTTTGACAAACTAACTAACTAAATAAATAAAAATATTCCTGGTGCTATAATTACCTGTTCTGAAGGCTTGGCATTTCCAAAGTTATGAGAAACCAATGATCACTCCAGCTCCCTGATTTTTCCCATATTTGTAGTGCCGTACTGCCATTGGTTGCTCCTTCATCTTCTTGTACAGTGAATGAAATGGTGCCATTGTAATTGCCAAAAACATATGCTGAGAATTGGACCTAAAGTGAAGATAAAGTGGTGAGACAGACAAAGGCTGTAAATGAGGTCCTTTATAAGCACTATATTTGAGGACTATAACCTTGGTTCAGACGTTAAAAAGTTTTATATTCAGAGGGGATCCTGTTATGAGCTTCATAAAAATAACATCACACAATTTCCTGGGAATGAATCACATGAAGATGAGAAATATAAAAAGAAATCTTGACTCAAGCATTTGTACATTCATTAGCCAGGCGCCTTTCTGTCTTTATGATTTTTATCACATATAAAGTGGAACCAAATTTTCTGGTTTTGAAAAAGATAGTTTTCTGATCTTACAAAAAAAGCTACCCCGAAAGGATATCCATTACTGCAGGCATATGGAGGAAGCAATGAATGAGCTGATATGTGTACAGGAAGCTGTGTGATCTCAGTTTATGCTCTGTTTCCTCTAATTTGGGCAAAAATGAAAAGCCCTTGAAAAAATGCCAGGCCAATATATGTACTTTTTGCTCCAGAGTGAAGGCAACATTGTCACCATCATGTATCAGAGAAGAACTTAATGAAAATGTGTCACTATATAATTAATTACAATATAATGAGTTAATTAAATTTATATGCCACCCATGTCACTGTCGGGTAAGTTGGAACAGAAGTTGAAAGAAAGTTAACACGTATTTATTATGGTTTTAATTCCCATGGATTAACATCTACTTCATCAGATCAGATGCATGAAACATTACAGCTGATCAATGCCATAATCATTATCATTCTACATGGATACAAGAGAGGAAAAAATGTCTGCCTTTCAATCTATGTGTATTCATAGTCCTTAACTTACAACCATATTTTTTTGTCTATGGAGATTCTCAGTTATCCAGGTCATGGTTGTTCCAAAGATGCTTTTTCAAAAGGCATTGGGGGACTGAATTTTGCAGTAACACCAGAAGAGCTACCAGTTGTAGATCTCCTCACTGCTACAGAGTCAGCCATCAGGAACAATAAACTGGCAGAACCAGAATCAGAACAATTAAGACACACACAGCCCGAATTGAAGAAGCTCTTGGATGAGAAGCTAACCGTCTTCAAAGAAAAAAACAGAAAGCTCAATTGCCTCCTGACAAAGCACCTTTGGGACACCATTCAAAGTTATAACAACAATGAAAAAAAGTGACTTGTGACTACCTTTGTAACTTCCCCAGGTAAGTGATCAAACAATGGGTGCTTGATAACTGGCATGATCTTATGATGGTTCTAATGTCCTGAGGTTCTGGGATTGTGATCTGCAAGCTTTCTAGGGAACTTCTGACAAGCAAAGCCAATGGGGGAATTCAGATTCACTTGACCGCATGATTCACTTAACAACTGTAATGATTTGCTTAATAACCAGGACCAAAAAGGTCATAAAATGGGGCACATCACTTAACAATTGCCTTGCTAAACAAAAGTTTCGGGTTCAATTGTGGCTATAAATCAAGGACTACCTGAACTCATTTTCTCTTCTCTGGGGTGGGGAAAGGGGGAGCTAGCTGAACTATTAGGATATGAATTGCTGATTAATCTAATATTTAAAAATCCCTGGAACATACAAAATCATCACATCCTTACATGCATAAGTGGATTGCTATTTTCTTTCCTTGTTGGATTTTTCAGCTGGCCAGTCTTAATGCAGCCTATCTACTATTTATGTTACATTTCTTTATTTTATTTTAAGTATTTCTACAGTCAAAACATCCAGGAAAGCAATATGTTACAAATGAGTTACAGTTTCACATTGAGTATGACAAATTAATATATTTTTAACTTAAAAGATAATTACTTATCCAGCTTTTTGGTAAATCTTTCCGTTTGAGAGGAGAATGAAATAAACAAGGCAAGAGAATTGAATAACTGGGCTTGTATAAGGAGAGAGTTTGGTTCAATGACAGGAATGAGAGAAAGATCCTACTTCAGAATCCTTGTATCATTTTCATAGGGCAGAAGTAGGCAAAGGCTTAATAAGCTAATCTATGAATAAGCCTTTTGTCTATACTTGTCTTCCCTTTGGTTGTTTCTTTCTTTAGAGCAAGAGCATAGAAATCCAGACATCTCTTATCATAGTTATCCATTCCATCCAAGCTGAGAAACTATGGTAACTAGCTTTAGAACAAATCAGGGTATTATGCGCAAATTTAAAGCTGATCTAATATCCTGCTATTTCTACGCTTCTTAATCAGACCTTGCTAATTCAAATGAAAGGGGTCTCTATTTTGTCACTGGGATAAAGTGTTTGGGGTGGGTGGGTGTCTTTTTCATACCAGAGTTGAATCTGCTGTTACTCAATCATCCCACTTCTGTATTTCAGTTGCATGAACACTTTTCCAACTTTGATTATAACACCAAGGTAGCCCAAAGTTTGTCTGAAGAGACCTTTGATTCTAATACCTGCAACTATTTCTTTCTTTCGTATAATTCATGATGTGATCGTTGGCCACAGAAAAGAATTTGGGAGTAGAGGTGTGCAAGCTGGTTTACTTTGAAACTTTTCAACTTCGAAGAGGTTGTTCTAAGTTGAGTTTTGTTTCACATGCCCACAACCTTGGATCATGGTTTGCAGAACAAAACAATGTTATTTCGAGCATCCTCATTTGTGGGTGTTGCAGGTGTTCTGAGGGCTGTGATTAGGCTGTTACTTTGTGGCTTGGGTTAGTTTCTTGCAAAGCCTTTCCATGGGCATGCTCCAGCTGCTGTTGCCTGAGGATAGGTGGAATAATGTGGGGGCACAGAGCAGAGTTGGGGTGTTAGGCATTTGAGAATGCATGTTTCAGCAGAGACATTCTGGATCTGAAGAAAGAAAGAGATAAGCCAGGACTGCTGTGTCTGGAACTGGTTAACCTGTCTGGCTGTCTCACACCATTCCCTTTTCTATCTTAGGAGTAATGCGTTATCTGTTTTGCTGTAATTTAATTTTAAAAGCAGTTGTAAGGAAGGACAGTGGAGACAAACATCCACATTCGGGTTTTCATCCACTGGAAGAAGTGAGTCAGCAGAGGCAAGGACGTAAAATATATTTTAATGCAGGAGTGCTGAATCACCTGCTTAGCTGGCAGCAGAGGGCAAGCCATGCCATCAACCTGTGGCAATGCACTTGCACTTAAGCAGAGTAAAGTGCCTGTTTAGAAAGGGAAGCGGTCATCAGCAGGTGAATGCCAAAAAGGCCTCAGAACTGATGTGAGGATGCCTTTGGACGTTCAGCTCTTCAGGACGATGGCTGGATTTCAATATCTCTTCTTAGCAGGTTGCTCCCCAATGACTCTTTCCAGCACTCCCATGGATAGAACTGGTGAATGATTTGGGGTTTCCTGGACTTGGAGCTCTTGCTTGAGAAACAGGTGGCAGGAGGTTGGAGGCTTTGCACAGATAGATTTTGTGCACCAACTGCATTCTTTTTTAGACTGGAGCAGGGGTTAGCAAACTTAAACACTCAAAGAGCCACAAAGGTCCTAACTGGAAGTCCCCTGTTTATTCGCAATTCGCAATTTAATGAGCTTATATGCCGCCCAATCCCAGAGGACTCCAGGCGGCTTACAAATACGAAATAGAATAAAAGAACACATAGGGGAAAGAAACATACACAGTTTAAAAAACACACAACATACATTTGGCTTAACTGGGGGTTGGACCTGATTTAAAAAATCAGCAACAGCCAGGTTTTGGTGGCTTTTTGGAAGGCCACGAGAGTGGGAAGGGTCCGGATCTCTGCTGGTAGCTCGTTCCACAGATCCGGAGCAGCTACAGAGAAGGCTCTCCCCGAGTGGTCGCCAGCCGGCATTGTCCGGTCGACGGCACCCGGACGAGGCCTAGCCTGTGAGTTCTTATCGGTCGTTGGGAGGTGTGTAGCAGGAGGCGGTCTCTCAGATATCCAGGTCCAATGCCATGTAGGGCTTTAAAGGTAATCACCAGCACTTTGTAGCACAACCGGAGACGAATGGGGAG